CTTGATTTTCCTCCTGCTTTACCAGGAATTCACTTTCCTCCTGGCTTTTGTCTCCCTTGTAGCCGCAATGAGGACCCTGAGAGATATCCCTCTGTGATCTGGGAGGCGAAGTGCCGCCACTTGTTCTGCGTTAATGGTGAAGGGAAGGTAGACCACCACCTGAACTCCGTTCCCATTCAGCAAGAGATCCTGGTCCTGCGAAGACAGCCTCGGCACTGCCCCAACTCCTTCCAGATGGAAAAGATGCTAGTGAATGTCGGCTGCACCTGTGTCACCCCCATTGTCCGCCATGTGGCTTAAGAATTTCCAGCCTGACCCCAGATTCCCAAATCAGTAGGCTTTCTGGGGAGTAGACCCAGTCTCATTTCTAACCAAACTCACTAGGATTTTTAAACAAGTTCATTTAATTCAAATTTCAAAGATAATTCAAGATACAGAGGTATTTCATTCAGAGATTGAATCTGAATCTTCTTTTCCTCTCCCCAAGGAAGAAGGTTTAAACTGAGTACCAATTTGCTTCTTGTTTGCTTTTCTAAGAGCTTTAAGTTATTTATGTATTTAAAAGGCCCTGAGATAATTTAGGGGCATAAGATTCCATTTTAATGAATTATATGCCTTATTTTGTATTTTTTTTTAAAAAAAGACAGTATTCTAGATTTAGGAATTATATTATTTAAAAGGTAAAACCTATATTTATATGAGCTATTTATGGATCTATTTATGTTTCTTAAGTCTTTAGAGAAAGGTGAAATAGTATAATTGTTCTGCCTAGGGAAATCCTAGAAAGAATTAAATGGCAGTTGAAAATTTCTGAATTTGTATTACATATAGATACAGGATTCTCTTCTCTTTGTCTCTTAGGAGTGCATGACATAGCTAAAAAAACAAAGACTATACCTAATTACATATTTATTAACTTAATTTTGTAAATTGTTGAAGTTTCACGAGAGATGGCAAGTCTAACTCTCTGTTAAACCCTTGTAATAATTTGTAATAATAAAATTTGGGGAAAAAATTTGTCTCCTTATTTTTTTTTTCTCATTGAAAGTACTTTGACCAGTTCAGTTCTCACCTATTTGGAAGAATATGCAAATTATCTCATCCAGCAAAATAAAGCATGTCTTTGAGTAACAATAACCTTCACCCACACAAGTCCATGTTCTCAATTTAACATGCCTTCAAGATAGTAAAGGACCAAGGCTCTCATACTATTAGCCAATGATGTGGATACAAGCATTACAAAATGAATTAAGCAAATAAAAATAATGGCCCTGGTAAAATGGCATGTCATTATTAAAGATTATACAGAAAAAAGAAAGACTCTCCCAAAAATATGACCTGAGGTTTGACAGTAAGGGGCCAGTTCTGAGAGAAGACATAGTTTTCATACTAGAATACCCAGTCTGTCCCAAACTCAGGCTTCTTTTGAAGATTAAAGCCAACCAGAAAGGAACATTTTTCTCTTCCTCAGTCTACACCCCTAGGACAACCCCTACTTCCCACGGCCTCTGATCTAACATACCCAGACACAGAAAAGAGCCAATAGAGCAAAACAAACTTAAAGTATGAGAAAAGTTTAGCCCAAGTAAAATAAAAACTAAATCACATTCAATTCCAGAGTAGTTTCAGGTTTCGAGTCAACCATTTTTCCACGCCATAGCCCAGCATGCTGTCTTGCCCTACTTCTGGAGGCCCTTGGAAATTCTCAGGCTGGTCCCACAGGCTCCTGTTTCTTGAAGAAGCATTTTCTACTCTCTTTCGTTCTCTTGTACTCTCCGGTCCTACCCAGAAGCCCATGGCATTTCTCTGCTTCTTCTCTAGCCCCTTTCTTCTTAGTGTCATTTGTGTGCTTACATCTTGATTCTTGTGGCCATCTCCTGTCACAGTCTTTATACAAGAGATCCACAGGCAGCTGCTGCTGACAGTTTCTCACAGCCTTTATACTTTAAAACCTCCCACTAAAATTCTGCTGCTCATTTCCCATGTTTGCCTAAATGGCAGTGGTGAAAATAAAAACTTTGATTTTGTTTTGGGGTAGAGGGCAAGAAAAGGGCATATGTAGCTACAGTCCTGAACCACTATTTCCCACTATTTTCCACTATTTTCCAGATTTTATTTCTGGAAATTTCATTTTCATTTCATTTTATTCATTTAATTTCATTTCATTTTATTTTCCACTATTTCCCACTAGATTTTATTTCTGGAAATTTCATGGGTGGAAAGACGCAGCTACCTTTCAAGTCTCCCCTCCCCTGATATGTATTGCTTATATTCTATCTTCATTTTCCCTAATTAGCACCATTTATGCAACCAGTCATCTACACTAGAAATCTCTGAGACATCCCTGACTCTTCCTTCTTTCTCTTCCTCACTCCTAACACCTACACATTTTCAAACACATTAAGTTTTACTTCCCAAAAGTTCTCAAATTAACCCCCTCCCTGCCCATGTTCAGGACTTCATCTTTTCTCATTTCTCTCCTCAGTTATTGCAATAGCTTCCTGCCTATCCATGTTGCTGGTGCCTCTGTCCTCAATCCATCATCCAATAGCCATGGCACGAAATTGGTCAAGACGAAACACACTCTCCATAACCTGGCCCTGTTCCTGCTTCTGCTCTCTCTTATATTGATTCCTCCTTGATGTTTTACCCTTCAGTCATAATGAAGTTTTTGTTGTGAGCACCATGCTGTTCTTGACCTCAATGCCTGTGTCATGTGGTCTCCTCTACCTTGAATGCTTTTACCATCTCTCCCCTCCTGTTGGTATGGTCTGAAAGTTTGTCTCCCCCCAAAATTTACATGTTGAAACCTAACGCCCGAAGTGATGAGATTAGAAGCGGGGGCGGGGCGGGGGGTGCCACTGGAAGGTGATTAGGTCATGAGACAGAGCCTTCATGAATGGGATTAGTGCCCTCAGAAAAGAGATCCCAGAGAGCTCCCTCACCCCTTCTGCCAGGTAAGGATACAACAACAACAACAAAAATCTTCAATCTGGAAGAAAGTCCTCATTCAAACATGTTGGCATCTTGATCTCAGACTTCCAGCCTCCAGAACTGTAAGAAATGAATATCTGTTGTTTACAAGCCAATCAGAATATGGTACTTTGTCTTAGCAGCCCAGACAGACTAAGGCATCTGCCCACACCACTCTATCCTATCCCCATTGTTCTGCTCATGCTTGAAGACACTACTTAGATATCGTTTTTTCTAAAGAGCCTTCTCAGACACATCACTCCAGCAATCCCAGATTACTCACTCTTCTGGGCTTCAGGAGCACCATGGGTATCATTTATCACTTATTGTATTGGCTTTATCTATTTAACCAAGTTGTGGTCTCTTGAGAGTGAAACCATCAACACCTGACCTGGAGCATAGTAGACAGTCAATTTTGAAGTAAACTTTGAATCAATAATTCATAGACACTTCAAAGTCAACAGAGATATAACTAAAGTCACTAGCTCTACTACTAAACTAGCTTCTCCTACTCCATTTTTTATCTATTCAAATGGCATCACCTACTCAACTGAGAAACCTAGATTTCTGTGCCATTCACTCCTCTCGTTCAATCAGTGACAAATCTCTCATGAGTTCTCATGTCTTCTCCTTCCTCCTTAACTCCAAAGTTGCTAATTAAAGTTGAATTTTACATCATGTTGTACACTTGAAAATAATATAATATTGTATGTCAACTATAATTAAAAAATAAATTTTAAAAAATTAAATTGCATTTAAACATGAGTCTAACTGGTCTCCATGCTTTTCTTCTTATAGTTTATAATTCAATGTCTTCAAACTTCTGGGGGAGGCTAGTGAGCGTAGGTAATTAAGAGCTGTTGCAGTAGACAAATCCCAGCTAAACAAAGGTTTATTTCTTGCTCATATTACTGTCCATCAGGGAACCTCGAGGAGCTTTGCTCCACTCAGACATTCAGGGATTCAGGTTCTGTCTTCTTGTAGCAGCACCATCTAGAATTACACTGTCTAATATAGCAGCCACTAATCACATGTGGCTATTGAGCACTGAAATGTGGCTAGTCTCGATTGAGTTGTGTGATAAGTGTAAAATACATAGTGATTTCAAATATTTTTGGTGTTAATATTTTTTAGGGTAATTCTTTCCAAGAGCTCAATTACTAGTTGTGAGGGTCATAATTTTAATGTGTGGATCACAGAGAGGGTGCTATCAATACATTTAGGATGCATTTTACCTAGGTACAGAGCATGAGCATTCTTATTAGAGACAGGTAGGACATAATATATTAGGAAGGTTGCAAAAAAGTTTCTGAATATTTTGAGGGAGTTGTATCAGTGGAACACTGAGATACTTGTTGTTCATTCTTGCTCCTTAGTTCTAGAGATTCAAATATTTTCTCCTTTTTAAAAAAATTGAGATATAATTGACATATAACATCATATTCGTTTCTTATGTACAAGGTAATGATTTGATATATGTATATATTGTGAAATGATTACCAGAATAAGTTTAGTTAACATCAATTATCACACACAGTTACAAATTTTTTTTTGTTATGTAAACTTTTAAGCTCTACTCTCAGCAACTTTCAAATATATAATACAGTATTGATAACTATAGTCACCATGCTCTACATTTCATCCCCAGAACTTATTTATCTTATAACTGGAAATTTATACCTTTTGACCACTTCACCCATGTTAATATTTTTTAAATGTAAAGCTTAGTGCTATTTTTATATTGATAAATGTTGAAATGATAATATCTTGGATATATTGGGTTAAATTTATTATTAAAATATAAATTATTCAAAATTCACTTGTTTCTTTTTCTTTTTTTTTTTTTTTTTGATATGGCTACTAGAAACTTCAAATTAAAATGTGGCCAGCATTACATTTCTATTGGACGTGCGCCAATGAAAGAAAGGAGAAGGCTGAAACTATAGGTGCAGCTTTTAGGGGCCAATCTCCTTGGCCAGAACTCAGTCACACAGACCCAAATTAACACCAATGAAAAGAAGGAAATGTAGACTTTTTGTATGTCAAAAAAAAAAAAAAATTAAATGAGATTTGGTGAGCACATAGCTTACCTCTGCCACAAGACTTACAAATGAAGGTGCATGCATAAAAACTCTCACAATTACACAATTCCAAATGGCTGAGCTGTTACATGGCCACTTTCTAGTGTATGAAAGCACTTGAGAGTAATATTATCATAAGAATAACCTTTAATTTACTCTAATTTAAAAAAAACTGGCATTTTAACACACTATAAAAGAAATAATGTCTTTGTGACATGCCTTACAATCAACTAGAGCATGCTTGATTTTTGTACCTGCTCAGGCAAGTCTTTAATTATCAAATGATAATTTGTGAAATTTTATTGATTTGTACACTTAGGAGTTGCACATTTCTCTGTATATATGTCATGGTTCAATACATATTTTGCTTAAGAAAAAAACACTGTTTAGCACGTGTAGGTTCTCGATATTTCTTAAATAATACAATAGATGACTCAAGCAAAAATTCTCTACCCAAAAATATTCTGTAAAGTCAACAAGAAAACTTTCTCAAGCAGGTGAGCACAGAGA